AGGAATGCCTGTGCTCTGGGGCATTCCCTTGGTGGTGTATGGGAGGTTAATTGGATTCACCTGGCAGGTATCGCTAGGCAGAAAATGCCTGTTAAAGCCATGTAGCTCAAACAGAGCAGAAAAGGCACCTAGTAGTATATAAAGCACCTAAAACATAATCTTTTGCCTGTTTTGTTTTCTTTTCACAAGAAGTTTTGTAGTCTTGTACAGTCTAAAGTGGGGGAAAAAGGCCTGCGAACCTCCTTTACAGATTAAAATATTGACACTCAGGATATCAAATGGTCTTCTATTACTCAGGCCTTTGCCTGACCTTGGATATCGTGATATACTATGGTAACTTCAGGCTTGATGGTTTAACTTCAGAAAGCTTAGTAATCACTTTTTTTGGTAATTTTTTTTTTAGTATTAAAATGGGTCACTTTATGGAAGTGTTAATGCTGCTAATATCTTTTCACATACTTACTGATACATTATTTTAAGGGTTTGCTTCTGCTACCTTTCTCATGCTGTTCCTGGAAAGAAAACTTATATGCATAACGGAGTTTTAAATCATGCACTGCTGTTTCCATTATGTCAGGTGGACCACTAACCATCCTGTGTATTCACAGATGGCAAACTTGCCAAAATTATTGGGAGGAATCAGAGGGAAAAGGACTACTGTTGTAGCCTTTCTATGAATAGGGGACCTTTTATGTACCCTGCGCTCGAGAGAAGGTGAAGAGTGGCACAGATTGGAAGGAGGTCAAATAATATTCCTGGAGTTACTTCAGGACTATCTTGTCAGAGCCAAGAATTGCTCCAGATGCCAGCCTGGAGCTGCAATGATCAGTCTCTCCAGTATTTTGTAGTTATAAATTGCTGTTTGCCTGTTCCTTTTCACATCAGCATCCATTAGCTTTAGTACTCCTAATACTTGATTGGAACTGATCCACATGAAATAATCAGAATGTTTAACCAAAATGAGTGAGCTAGCCTGCATCTTAGGGCTTACTGAGTGCTTGGGGTTTGGTATATATGACATTTTCTTTAAGGATTCCTCCTGAATCTACTGTTAATAGGCTTAGGAATATTGGAGCTGTGAGGTAGAGGTAATTTTTTTTTTTTTTCCCCCAAGCAACTACTTTAGTGTTCACTTTATTTTGGCTTCATTTTTTGTCCCAGAAAACCCCAGCTTAGATGAAGCATCTGGTTCTCTGTTAAGTTTTAATTTTTTTTTATTCAATTCTACAGCTGCACAAACTGAAGCTCAAAGAAACCAAGTGTCTTGCCCAAGGTCAGACTGAGTTGGTGGTTGAGCCAGGAATAGAACTCAACTATGGTATTTTAATTTTTTTTTAAACAATAACATGCAATGGCTGTAATGAGAGGTTTAGAAGAAAGTCGACAGTTTAAAATTACTGTCGAGTTTCTCTCTTTTCCCTGATCTTGAAACAAATCTGCCCTCAGATGACTCAGAGTTTGAAGGGCTAAGCTAGTTATGGAGTAAATCCAGTTTTGCTTAACCATGCATACATTAAAACCATCTCAGATAACGGTAGCCTTACACAGTGTGACTTAGGCCATTTTCAGAACATGCAGTGACCCTGAGGAGCAGCTTTTGAAATATCTACTCCTGTCCATTTCCAGTTGCTTATGTTGATGCTAAGTTAGATTCTGGCTGTGATAAATGAAGATAGGCTGAGAAAACTTAGCTGTGGTTTCCTTGTGACAGAAGTCTGGTGAATAAGGATGCATGAAAAAGGAATAGTAAAGGATGCAGAAACGGAGGAAAGAGGTGCCCAGGATGACTGAGTGATAACTCCAAAACTGTCAGAATTTAAAATATTTTTTCCTTGTTGAAGGTCTGGATTATCTTGAAGAACACTATGCCAAATTGCAAGTTTTAGTTACAGTGTACTACAGGGGTTGTGCACTGTATGGAGATATAGGGACTCTTATCATTGATGTTCTTCAGTATGTCTATGCCCTGAAAAGTATTGCTCATACAATTAGCCTTATGCATCTGAGCACCCATAGACTTCTCTGGGATACCAGTAGGAATAGTCTGCAGAACTTCGAGGCAAATTTAAACTAGATGCTACAAATACTACTCTTTTTTCTCTTCAACACTAGATATCTTAATGTATGTGAATTTTCTGAAGCAGCTAGCTTTTTCCTGCCTTCTGTCACTTACTGTGAGACAGACAGGCTAGTGTGTAACTAATGGCATAAACATTTATGAAAGACAGCCTCTGTAATCAAAGACCTGTTCTTACACAGGCCTCTTTCTCACTGCAGCAAATTTAAGTTTTAACAATGCCACATACCGATCTGTTAAAGTGTCAAGACTTCTCTCTCAAAGGATTCACAAGGTCACCTGCAGTCTATGGCCAATTTATGTCAGACTCTTTCTTGCACAAAGGGCTGTTTATGATCTCTCAGTACAACTTTCTTAAGACAGTTAATAATTCATTGCAAAGTTATTTTGCTAATGGCTTCTGTGAAGACAGTTCAGATATTGAAAGATTTGTATTTTCTCACCTAGGATGTGGAAGCAAAAAATTATTCTTTTTTTAAAAATAAGGGTGCTATTTTGTCAGTGCAAGGGAAATGCAAGGATTGATTAGAAAACCTGTGAGGAAAGAAGTTCCAGAAAACAAGTACATTGGCTTTGACACTGATCCTTTGCAGGGTTCTGCCTGAGAATGTCCTCTGCATTGTTTAACTGAAGTCACTCTCAGAAAATGGTCATTATGTAAAGCCTCACCCACGTCAGTCAAATCTCTGCAAGATATGAGCCTAAAAGTTCAGTTCCCTAGAAGAAATGTTTGAAGTACGGTTAATGCATGAGCAGAGTCACTGCACACAGTTCTACGTGGGGTGTTTGGAGTGTGCCTGTACCTAACCTTGAAGATACAGAGGAACAACTGAGCGTATCATTATTTGCATTTCTGAAAAATTGGCCCAGTGAGAGATACTGAAGTCTCCTACTCGTGTTACTGTCATCAAAGCCTTACAGCTGCCTCCAGCTGTATTTAGGGAAATGCACTGCAAGGTATTGGCTGGAAACGCAAACTCTGGTCACATTCCTTTACTGGCTGTTTTCCTTATGGCTGAGTTTGTTTTGAGTTCCTGCAGGTGAGGATGAATATTGTACAGTGTTTGGTAAATACTCAGAGTATAGTACTTCACTGCTTTGTGTAGGATAGCTAACAGGAAAGAGATGTTCTCATTGTGTCTCTCTATGAGAGTCTCTTGGGAGGGAGGAATAACAAGCATCTGAAGTCAGTCAGGCCGTGAGGTGACTGCGCTGGAAGGCTTGTGCCAGTCTGTCTCCGTCTGGCCGTTGTGATTCCTGCACTGCACAAGAAAGCCACTTTGGTGTTGGTTCACCAACTTGTTTTCATCTGGGCACAGTAGAGATCTATTGTATAAACAACTTGCCTGAACCATAATGTGGCATTAAACTCACCAAGGCTTTATGGTCAGTGCACAGCTATGCAACTTGATCTTAATGCTGAATTCATCAGAAAAGCTGCCCATGAACCTATGTTTCCAGCAGATGTTTCTGTTTTTTAAGCAGAGACATTATAATCTTTTATTTGTCTTTCATTTCTTTCCATGAAAGCACAGTAGGGACAGTGTTAACCCTGGTGATCAGATCTGCCAGGTTGCAGTCCTCCCTTAGACATAATAATTCTGCTGAACACACAGATCTTTTCTGAAGCTGGTTTTAAAAGGGGGACGGGAACAGCCTTAAAAGAATGAGTTTCCCAGACTCAGAAATTTGTAATGAATATAAAATTGTGGATTTCAATACAATGTATTGTCTTTAAGAAAGCATTGAATGCGATTTGATTTAATTCTACAGGGATAGATGTTCAGTTGGCAGATACTCAGAAACTTTCAGTCTTTTGCAAATGTAAATAGGTCTAGCTTTATTGTCTTCACTGAGATTATGATGATTTATTTCTGCTGAAATTTTTTTCAGTTCTCTTCATATCAGGTTTACTCTACAAATTTGTTGGAGTTGTTCCTGTTTTACAGCAGTGTTAATGAGACTGGGGTGGGTCTATTGTCTTAGCAAGAAATTAAATAAAACACCATTAAATGAACTCATAGCCTGTAGATAACACTACTATCCAGGAAAAGTCTTAAGCTGATAATAAGGTTACTCTTATCTGACAGGCACTTTAGCTTTAGCCATGTAAATCCAATGTAGTTGGAGCCCATAGAACTGGAAATGTAAGATCAAATTTTACAAAACAGGCTGAACATCTTTAACTCCAGTTTATGCACTTACACCCAAGTCTGGATTTTGAGTGTTCTGTGAGAGGAGCTGGAGAGCTTCTGAAGATCTAATCACTTAATTGAAATGATAGGATGGGGGTTCAGATCTGCTGAGAGTCTGATTGATTTGTGGCTATGGAGCAGATTGGGAAAATCTAGTTCTCTTGATTAAGAAATGTGTAGACAGCTAAAGACTCATACAGTATAAATTTGTTTTTGCTTCAAGTGTAACCTGGTTGCAGCACCTTTGATATCTTGGTTATACAACTGATAGCTAATTGGATTAAATTACAGCTTTTTGCCAAGATAAATTAGCTTTGGTTGGTGTGAGATGATTTTGAACATGCAGTAATAACATGGAAAATAAAGAATCCTGTTGAGAGGCCTTTGAAAAAATATGTGGCAAATCTCCGTAGGTCAATAGGTCAGAATACACAAAGCTGCTGTAAACTCAGAGCTTTTACATTCACAGTCCAGCAGAGGTCTGAGAGCTGCATGAAACTGCAAGACAGCAAAAGTATATTGTGGTGGGGGAAACAAGAAAGAAAAAGACACATACTTAATTTTATGTTTTAGTTAGAACAGTAGCAGCAGCTAATGACTACCAGGTAATGCCAATTAAAGGATAGATTGAAACTCTGACATAAAGCCCTGACTCTACTACTACAGTTAGCACACTTGTTTTCAGGGTGACCCTATACAACTTATGCAATGTTCAGTGTTGCTTTGTTGCTTCCTTCTTCAGCTTCTCAATTCCTCGCTTTTCAAGTATATTGAGAACTTCTGATGAAAACCAGCAGTTCAATAACTGTATGCTAAAACGTCCTTAATAATGACTAATATTTCAGTTCTCTTAAATAGGGCTGTGTCAGAGTAAATGTTAGTTTGCACTTACTTCTTCCTAGTCTACAGTTGGAGTTCCTGGGATGTCATATAATGTGTTGAAAGTTTCTTATTACTCCCAACTTGCAGATAATGATTTAAGAGAGATTGGCTTCTATGAAGGCATCTCAACTTTGTAAGTCGTTTTTCACCAGTATTTAGTCCCCACCAGGCAACAGGAAGAACAGCTCACCACTAATCAGGCCAGTAGATCTTCAGCTACACCTCTTCTAGCAAGTTTGCATCTCCGTTATTCTTGATCCTCCTTTGTTTCAAATTTCCCCCTAATATACAGTGCAGCTTTGGATTCACTTTCAGGTTTGAGTATTCTAGTCTTCTGACTCCAACAGAGAGGTCCTGGACTTCTGCTCAGACTGAGAAATGCTTTCACTATGGTATGGAAAGAAGACAAGCTTTGCTTCAGTTTTACAGTCTCCTCTCTGTATTGCTGCATTTTATTTTCTTCCACTTCCATGTTTACGTTCATTTGCTACCTCTTTCAGACTTTTTCTCTCTGCCTACCCCAAATCTTACCTGGAAAGCTGCTGCCACCCACGGTGTTTTCCTGGTGGCTAGTCAGGAGTGGTACAAAACTGAGTTCTTTGGCAGGCGTCCTCCTCTGCTTTTGGCTGTGTGCAGTGCTGTGACAATTTGGAACGGGCAGAACAGTTCAGCACTCAGCAGATGCAAGGGGATTTATTTGCCCTGACTCACATAGAGCTATGCTGATTTGCACCAACTGACAGCCTGTATTCACCATTCTTTTTCCCCTCACTTCTGTGCTAGTTCATCAGCTGAGGGCCTAGCCAACTGTCCTTCATAGATGCATAGTCATTTCTATTAAGATAAATCTAATGATAATGTTATATCCTGTCAGTGAACACTGCTGTGTATGCAAGCATTTCAAGCCATGTTAGTAGGCTTCAAAGGATATACTGCATAATCGGGCAAGTTGCTTGTGAACTGAAGGTAAGATAAATCTTGAGTGGCTCAGGAAGCAAAATAAGTAACACTATATTGTGCTTACATTTGACTGTCCTCTGTGATTCCTGTTTGCAGCGTCTCTTTTAAACTAAATACCGAAACAGGCATATTCAATTGGTTAGAGGGATTTTTCAGAGTGCATGAGAATGTACCTAAAAATAATAGACCAAACCTAGTCCTGCCAAGTTGTTCCTTCTGTTTATACCATTTCATATAAGTTTAGCTTTCTAAATGTAAGCATAGTTTCTTTCCCCTCAGAAGTAGATCCCACCTCCAGTAACAGGAAGAAGAGCTCACAAACTTCTATGGAGAAATGCCTAATCTGGTTTCTTCAATACTTTCTTCGTTGGTACCAGTGTTGTGTCCATTCCCTAAGTTCCTGTCTTGGCTTCAGGTCTTTTGGATATGGTGGTAGTATGAAGGTGCTCACTTTCTGGCTGTGTAGGTCCTTTAACACTTTATTATGAAAGCCTTCTGAGAGACTATAGGAACTGTAACAACTAGTTCTGTCACCCACTATCTTATGAATTCATTCAACGAACAGAATAGATCAGTGAGACATCTTTTTTGTAAGTAGGCTAGACTCCATTGTGCTGTAATCTATATATTCATTCCAAGTAATGTACAAGTTACAAGGTTTAATGGTCAGTAAAACACCTGTAAATATGGATCGATGAAAATTATCTTTGAATTCAGAACTACACAGAATACCAAAATAAGAGACTCTTCTCTCTTAAACATCTCTTTCCTTTCTTTTCTGTGTATCTTTCCTTTTTGTGTCATGCCCCCTAGCTACTTTCCTTTTAAAGGAAGGGTAAAGGGCAGCTGATGAAAGAAAAGTGTATACTTTCAAAAGACAGAATCTGTACCTGGATTCATTACTATGTGATCTAGAAAGCAAATCTAGAACCCTTCAGACCAGGTGTTGACTTGGTGTGTGAGAGCTACTGTGGAGTAAGCTCATCCTTCAGCGTGACTTGAACTTAGAGCAAATCATGATGGCACAAAGCATAACTTCTGAAAAGTTGGTACTGTTTAGAAGTTAGAATTTAGAGCCCTCCTGACTAAATAGCAATGAAAGAATTGTATCTCCTGGGATAAATAGTGTGCTCTTGCACCAGATTTGAAAAAAGACAAAAGTGTTATTGCCGTATCTGATTACAGCTTGTTTACTTCCTTCCCTAGATGCCAAAGTTAACTTTAAAGCATCAGGCTGTAAAATGAAAGATTGCTATTTGAGTGTGGTGATACGTCTCCTAGCATATGTTTAACATGTGTGGTGATGTGTCCCCATGTATTAGGGATTGCAGATAAGCATGACGTTCTAGCACAAGCAGTATTATTACTTTGTGATGTTGTGACATTAGAAGCCAGGATGCTTCAGGCTTTCTTCCCGCTCTAAGATCTTAATTCCACAGAATTATACTCAGTATTCATAAATGCGGCATATAGTGCTGTTTAACGTAGTACCTCACTGGCTCTTGTCAGAACACTTAGTATTTAATAATCAATTGCTATGTCCAGCTGTCTGTGACAGCTTAAACATGGATTTGCAAAACTTTTTAGGTGCAAAGGTTATAATTTACATCAGGTTTCTAATGTGCCTACTTTAAAAAAAACCAAGTTCACAAATGCTGCATCTATATTACTCAGCACTTGTTAGACCACACCTAGAACACTGCATCCATTTTTGGACCCCTCAATACAAACCAGATTGAGTTCAGGAGAGGACCACGAGGATGACTGGGGGCGCTGGACATATCTCCTGTGAGAAGAAGCTGAGGGAACTGGGCTTTTTCAGCCTGGAGAAGAGAAGGCATCAGGAGGACCTAACAGCAGCCTTCCTGTACTCATGAAGAGGTTGGAAGATGGAGCCAGGCTCTTTACAGTGGTGTGTAGTGGGAGGATGGGAGACAACAGGCATGCTGAAACATGAGTCTCAACAGGAGAGTTTCAAACTAGATATAAGAAAAACTTTCACCTCATGGAGGACAGTGAAGCAGTGGGACAAGTTTTAAGGAGAGGTTCTGGAGTCTTCATCCTTGGAGGTTTGCAGGCCCCTACTGGACAGAGACTTTGAGCAACCTGGTCTGCCAACCCAGGTTTGAGCAGGAGGTTGAACTACATACCTCATGAGGTCCCTTCCAATTTGACTTATCCTATGACCCTATGTGTCTTGGATAATAACTAGTAGTTTTCCTGAGAAAAATACTCCAGACAAGGCTTGAAGACTTCTAACAAAGTAAAATAGTTTATAGCCAAGTGATGCTGATGTTTTATTTTCTCAGGATCAAGCAAAATGCTGGATAAGTTTTGAACAAATGTGAATGACTTAGATTCCTTTCCCAATACCTGTTTGGAAACTATCCCAGCAGGAGAAACAGACCAATTCAAAGCATATTTATCTCACCTACTTTGTAAAACACGGTATTGTCTTATTAACATATCCAATTCTTTCTGCTAGTATAGGTCACCTACAGTCCAGCAGCCCAAGATACAAATTCAACTTCATAGCAGATGTGGTGGAAAAGATTGCACCTGCAGTTGTGCACATTGAACTTTTCCTCAGGTAACACTTTTAATTCTTTGCGTTTTAATTGCATTGTTGGACAAAGGTCTACAAAGGTTTTCCAGTGTACTAACTTTAATTTTGAATTCTTGAAGTTCACAGCATATTCAGACACATTACAGCAGACTCATTTGTCTAGAGAACCACCTCTTTGTATGTTTTATTCCTGTTTCGTACACCTATTTTTTTTGGCTTAGAGTCTTTACAGTACTTTAGAACATGTATTGTCTGCCATAAAATAAGTCTATCGCATCTTTGGAGGTCTCTTCAGTCTCGGTAAAATGTGTTGCTTGTTGGATTATGGTTTATTGTCTCAGTTTAAAAAAAAAAAAAAAAATCAAGAAGGTAAATTGGAAAAACATAGCTCCTTGTTGCTTATTCTGCTTTCAGTGAGAGTTGATTTCATTTTGGCAGGGAGAACATTAAGATGTAGCATGTTGACCAGATGCAACCTGTCTAAACACAGAAATTATTTCTGATGGGAGAAAATGTACTAAATTTGCTGACCAAAACATACCGATATTCAGTGTACTGAAGCTGGAGCTGAGGAGGCAAGTTTAACACTGAGTGCTCAAAACAACCTGGGAGGCAGGTTTAACATCGAGTGCTCAAACCAACTTACTGTCAGAACAAATTACTGCAATTATACGTACTCCTTTACCTGAATATCTTTCTGCTTGGGGTACTTTAAATTTACATAGGCTTAAGAATTCCGTGCAGAATTTTTATAGGCTTTCTTAATATGCAAAATCAAGACAATCAGGTTTTCCGAGACATAGCTTTATGCACATGGTGATTGGTCTTTTGAGAGAAAATCATAGCTGAAGTTGTTTAAGATCTTTGCATATGTAGTTTAGATTGTTTGTTCTTTCCCTGTAAGTAAATGTTTGTCCAGCAGCCTGCTGGGTGCTAATTGTGATACTACCTTCTCCCTGGGATTGGCTCCAATTCTTTACTGCTGAGTAGCCCAGAACTTTCAAACAATTTCCTAATAAGGACCACATCTTGAAGAAAGAAGAATTTGTGGACCTTTTCTGATCGTCTACTGCCCAGGCACTTTCTGTTCCCCTAACAAATCTGAGGTCATTACAGCAATTGTTCATAGAGAAAAGCCATAATACTTTAAACAGTTTATAAGGTCTTTTAAGTGTCTATATTGCAGCAAATGTTGTTCCCACCAGCTTTTACCCATTGTTAGAGGTTTAGTTTCTTTTCTTTCACATTACCAGTCCTTTCACTTTTTACACATGCTTTTTCCTGCCAGTCTACACTTGGACTTCATGATTCCCTGAGACATCACCTCTTCCTTTACTCCTCTGTCCAGCTGCAAGGTTCCTTCCTCTTCCTTTTTTTCCATTACAGGATCAGTCCATTTGTCAGCCCTACTATTGCCTGTCATTTTCTTCCCGTATAGAAACTGGTGGGATCACATGGGCTCCTTCTCCTTCCGTTTTTGTCACCTTGCCTCTTTGTAAGGAATCCTATAAAGATAGAATTGGAAAACAAAGGAGAATGACCCACAAGTTGTCTGAAAACCTCGGTTCCAATCTCCCTGACTGACTAAAAGCAGTCACAATTCTCAGAAAAAGATCTTTTTTTAAAAATTTTTTTTAATTTAATTTTTGTAAGGGTTGTAACATTGGTCATCAAATGGTTTGTTATTTCTCAGGGTGAAAGGTGGTAAATGATTTCTTACGTAATCTTCTCTAAGTTATACTTCCCTTGTGAGTTATAATTACTTGTTCTTTGTACAGGCACCCTCTCTTTGGTCGAAATGTCCCACTTTCCAGTGGATCTGGGTTTATTATGTCTGATTCTGGTTTAATTGTGACCAACGCCCACGTCGTGTCAAGCACCAATGCTATATCAGGGAGACAACAATTGAAAGTACAGCTACAGAATGGAGATACCTATGAAGCAACCATCAAAGACATTGACAAGAAATCTGACATTGCAACAATAAAGATTCACCCTAAGGTGAGTGGCATAAATAGATAAATGAATTAATTTGGGAACCCTATTTCAGTTTCATTTAGCTCAAAGTGATTGGCTGGAATATATGTTTAGAGACTCCTTGGAAATATATCTGGGGAAAACAATGGACTGAACAAACTGTTTCTGTAGGCCTGGAAATTTTTCGTATCTTAGAATTAAATTACTTTGTCTTCTGTGCTAGGAACTGCTAAAAAAGAAGACACAAAAATGCAGCTCAGTTAATATGTGACCAGATTCTGCTATCTTTACCTGAATACCTGGGCTATTTTGGCTCATCCTTCTAGCTTTGTGCCAATACATGGCCTGCAAGATGGTACATAGTGTAGGGAGAGTGGCAGGCTGGTCAATAGCTGGTTTATATGCTATTTCTATGAGGAGAAGGGAACAATCTGCTGGAAAACAGGGAAATTTGTTTCAGAATCTTTCTGTTTTTTTGTTGTTTTTTTTTCTGGACAAAATTGAACAGTGCTGCTGCTAGCATTTTTTTTCGGAAGACAGTTTAAGGCAGTAACATGCTGCAGTATACTCATTTTACCTGGCGTAAGTTTTGGGTATATGATAAGGAGTGGCTCTTTTATTTGTGTAATGGAAGGTGTATGTTCTTAACTTCTTGCTAGTTTTTGATCTTTTCAGTCAGGTTATTTTCAGATATAAACTAATGCTTATTTCTTTCTTTCTGTGTTTATTTAAGAAAAAACTACCAGTGTTGTTACTGGGACACTCTGCTGATCTGAGGCCAGGAGAATTTGTGGTGGCCATTGGAAGTCCATTTGCCTTACAGAACACGGTGACAACAGGTATTGTCAGCACTGCTCAGCGAGATGGCAAAGAACTTGGCCTGCGGGACTCTGATATGGATTACATTCAGACAGATGCTATTATCAATGTAAGTATTAAGTATGTGAGGAGCTGAGCTTCACAGTCCTGGGACCTTGAAATCCCCACCTATTCACCAGGGAAGTGTGTGCTCTGAAAGATTAATCCACTAAATAAAAGCAGCTTTGTTTAAAATCAGTGATAGGCCCTTTTTATAAAAGACTATGCAGTGTCTGTAAGTTGCATTCAGGCATTAATGTTGTGAAAGGTATGTTAAATAAAACTGCTTTCTTTGAGGTTGTCTAGGAAGATGTTACATAAGAGAGATCCTTCTCATTCTGTAGGTCTTGTGCAGTAACACATGGTTGTATAGACCAGCAGTAAGTCAATACATTTCTCTCTCTGGTTGTTCAGCTGATCTGGCCAAGCAAGCCTTAGAATAGAGCCAAAGTTTCTTTCATCTCCATGCATTAGAACCAGATGGAGTAGTCAAGTTGACAGATTCTGCTTGAGTTTAATGACAGGACACACAGGTAAGAACTTAAGGAGAGGGTTGGATTTTTTGTTGTTGTTGTTCTTGTTTTCCCTTTGCACATCACATACTCCAATGACGAATCTAGATGTAAAATAACATAAAGTTTGAGATACAGTTCGGAGTTAAGGGTCCTAGCACTGCATGTTGTATAGAAATACATGAGAATAGTACCCCATCAGAGCAGCTTGGAGGCATCCAAAGAGCTTAAGACCTTGTGTTTGCATAACTTGTAGTGATTCTAAAAAGAACACTGCATGCATATCTGAGATAGAAAATGGCCTGGAACTTTATGGCTTAAATCTGTTATACATCGAAATGAAAACATTTTCAGCATTTATTTACTGGACCTCAACATCAAATTTGACATAACCAGTGATAATGCTTAGCATTTTACATATGCAAAGCACTTCACAAATGTTTATTGTCACAGACTTATGGAGAGAAATTTTTTGGGAAACCCCATATTTTTAGCACAAACTTGTGCTAAGATTTGATAAAGCTTCTATGTGACCCAGGAGCTGAACCTCTTTAGACATTTAATTGGGATTACTTTCTTCAGTTGTAAAAGAAGAATAGGAAAACTTAGGCAAAATGGGTTACTTGGGAGCACACACTGAACTGGTGGCAGAGACAGAATTAGAACATGGGATTCTTGACTTCGCGCCTATACACATTCCTCAAGATCAGACTGCTTCCTTGTATATGCTTAGGCATTCACCACCCTCAAAAGCTAATGAGGAAGTTTAGACAAAGATAGTAGAGTGTTTCAGATAATGCTAGACCAAATAGAATAGTGATAGCAGAGGAGGTAAGGAAAAATGGCAATATATTTGAATTGCTTTGCCATTTGAGACCACAAAATATGAAGAGAGTCCCTGGCATAGGGATGCTTTGTGCTTAGCTAATGCACTAGTTTTCTCCTGAGAATGGGAGGAGTTTGAGAGCTGGTCTATTCAGAGCATTCCTGTGGCTCAGCCAAGACTTCCCTGCAGGAATGTGCATGCAGCTGCCTTCTGAAAAAATACTAGAACAGCAGGAACATGGGGCAGGAGAAAACAGGGCCATACATTCCTAAATGGAGTTATACCGCATGTGCTGAAGTTCTTTTGTTATCACATCCTTAGAGTAGAGGACAAGTGAATGAAAGATGATATGCTGAGGAAGTCTGAAATATCATTATCTTGATTCCTTTGTGTCAGACATAAAAATCAAGTGTGTAGCCTCTGATCACTGAAAAGATACAACATAAGAAATGGATCTCTTTGTTTAAACTTGAACTTCGAAGGTGTTCTAAAAAACTTTAATGTCTGTTTTATTCTGAGAATCTACAAGGTTTGCCCAGTGGTATCTAAGTGTAAACAGTTTATATGGCTCATGTTGCTGTCATGCATCACTTCGCTTTTGTTTATTTTGAGTGGTAAGTTGCTGCTCTTGGCTGTTCAGTAGACCTACTTGAAAACTCTGGCTGCACTCAAAATCAAACTTGTTAAGCCAACATGAAGATGGTCAAGGAACTTCTCCAACTCCCCCATTTCCTGTAGTCCTGTTGGACGTTTCCTTTGAAGACCATTAGGTATTAGGCAATTTCAGGCTGCTCAGAGCTGCTAAATGCCCTCCCTAGAGAGAGTGGCATGTCTGTGGTTACTAAATCAATCCTTACATAGTACCTACTTCATAGCAATATGCTGTGATTAAACATTGTGTTCTTCTCTGGTGGAGAAGTAAGAGATACTGATGGTGTTACAAACCAAAGTGGTGAATAAAACTACTTAAGAGCTGTATGTGCACCTCACTCAAATACAAACTTAAATAGCAATTAATTATGTCAAAACCTTGTTCTGACAATCTTCAGAAGAATCAAAATACTCGTTTTAACTCTCTAATGTTTCTTCTTAGGGTCTAACTATTTGGAGTGGTAAGTTCCTGCTCCTAACATAAGGCCTTTTTCTGGAAAAAAAAAAAATCAATCATAAGAAGTGTGAATGGGTAGGTCAAGACCTACCTGTAATCTTCTGTGATCAATACTGTGTCCTCAGTGCTGCCTAAGAAGTGATCTGCTCTCTTTCATTTACTTACAAAGTACTGTTTGAAATGAAAATTGCATTCCCTAAAGTGAAGCACCAATTTATTGTTCCCTTACATTATTTTTACAGTATGGCAACTCTGGAGGACCTCTAGTTAATCTGGTAAGTCCAGGTGACTTGTTTTTTGTTTTGTTTTAAGAGCTAGTTTGAAATAAGTGGGAGAATATGTTTTTGAAAAGATTCAGAGGTCGTACTAGCTTCCAGTCATTCAAGCTAATGGTAGGCAGATACCCTGAAGCTAACACAAACTATTCAAATTAGGTCTCAGTTTATATACCATTGAAAAGCATTTCCCCATAGAGCAGAGGAAATTTCATACAGCAGTGAGGAAAATGGGATTTGGTAGGAGCAGTTATGCTCGTTCACACTATGAAACCTGGGATGCAGGGCAAAGATGGGACCTGGTTAATCTGCGCAACTGATTTTAAACCAGCACTGATTTTGCAGGTCAGTGGATTGTGGCTGTAGTGGTAGTAGTGACTCCACTGCTAGCTAAGCAGAGGGAATCTCTTGCTGAGTGGTGGGATGAACCTTGGATGAACAAACTGTACTGTAATTTCTCTGGCCATCACAGTTAAATGTGAGAGGGACTGTGAATCAGAGCCCAGATCCTCCCTTAGAAGTAATGTTTATTTCTTGAGTGATTACAACACTCTAAACTAGGCAATGAGCTGAACCCTGTCACTTAGGAGCAAATTAATTGGGTGCTATCTCTCAACAGGATGGTGAAGTGATTGGGATTAACACCTTGAAGGTCACAGCTGGAATTTCTTTTGCTATTCCTTCAGACCGCATCACTCAGTTTCTCACAGAGTCGCATGACAAACAAAGTAAAGGTAAGGTCTGCAAGAAACAGTGACATCTTCCAATTATTTTCCTGATCTGTTGGTGGAGTGCCAAAAGACATGGGTCTGAGATCCTTTTCCTGAAAGGAGTAGCATTATTTTACAGTATAGAACACCATGGACTTGGAAAAAGAAAACAACTTCACAGAAGTGGGGCAGACATTTTATTACTCAACCCCCCAAAGAGTAGAGAGTATCTGTATAAATCTGGGAAAAAGGGCCTATGAGGATAGCGAGGCCACAGATGAGTCATTACAGTCTCAGTGATCTGGAGAACAGATGGTGACTTGTTTAAGGAGTCTTATCCTCCTTTTTCACATATTTTCCAAGTAAAAAGGAGATAAAGGTAAGAACTTGTCCATGGATGGAGTGTAGTGCATGCACTATCAGTGGATGATCTTTACCTTGCTATGGTCATTTATATCTGTGCTGTATAATTTGATATTGTGATAGACTCTCAGCCCCCAGTGGAAGAAGAGCTGTGTACTTATTCCTGAAGAAATACATGGGTAAGGGAGGAGAGGCAGAAAAAAAGAAAGGCCTCTGCACCAGAGCATACAACTCTAGATATACCAGTAACTGACAACTGCAGCACTGTAGACTTTTTTTACGCGCCTGCCTTGTATCTGTCACACTGTACTAGGAGTCATACTACGTGCTGCACAGCCAAAGCTGATCTAGTAATGCTTCATCTGAGCCAAACCTTCCTTTCTCTTTTGCTTGCCAATGTATCTGTCCACACCATACTTATCTTTTATCGTGACTGTTGGCTGCTGCTTTTCTTGAATCTTTTTGATATTAATCTAGTCTTCTCCTGAGTTCATCAAGTTGCTGATGCCAGGGTTGTTTCCCTACCCCATTTTCTTCTCAGTGTTCTCTCAGATACTGTTATTTCAGAAACTTCCCTTACTCAGAGGTTTTAAAGTTATGCATCTGCTTGTGTATCTGAGACCATCACAATTCTGATGGATCCCTTCATCTGTCTTTTGCTGACTTCCCCAAATTAGATTTTCACTTGGACGGGGGTAAGTTGATGCAAAGAGTTGTTAATTATGTGCTGAAAAATACATTTCAAAATCATAGAATCATAGAATGTTTTGGGTTGGAAGGGACCCCTAGAGGTCATCTAGTCCACCCCCCCTGCAGGAGTAGGGACACCGCTAACCACATCAGGTTGCTCAGAGCGCTGTCCAACCTGGCCTTGAATGTTTCCAGGGATGGGGCCTCCACTACCTCTCTGGGAAACCTGTTCCAGTGTTTCACCACCCTCATTGTAAAGAATTTCTTCCTTATATCCAGTCTAAATCTACCCTGTTTTAGTTTAAAACCATTACCCCTTGTCTTGTCACTGCTGGCCCTACTAAAAAGATTTTCCTCATCTTTCCTATAGGCTCCCTTTAAGTAGTGAAAGGCCGCAATCAGGTCTCCCCGCAGCCTTCTCTTCTCCAGCTGACATAATTTTGTTTCAGCCAACAAGTCAAAAAATCTATTTATTCACTTGGGTTACTAACTGTTGGCTTCTGAGAGAAGCAGGTCTGTATCATTAGTGATGTTACCCTTCAGAACCAAACTGCTCATCTCAAAACCAGGAGGAGCGATGGCTCGCCCTGGTGGTGTGGCTCTAGAGGCATGAAGGCAACCCTTGCACAGAAAAGCCCACCATCTGCCAGGGTCGGTAACCGGGGTTGGAAAGTCAGTGAAGGTTAGAGATGCCATCACTGAAATCAGTCACCTTCGCCTCCAGAGTATGATGAACCTGCTGAGCCCAGCTAGGGGACCTAGAGATAACTTTGCCTATGGAACCCTAAGAAAACAAAATAATGAAAGATTCAAGTTTATCTTATAATTGTAATGTACCAACTGATTTTTTTCATCATTCTCATTATCCCCTGATCAAAGGAAGATGATTCAAACTTACTCTTAGCATTGGTGTGCCCATCATTGTTTGGCATACCCTGGCTATGGGCTATTTTTTTTTTTTTTTAGTTTTTAAATTTTTTTTTGCTTTTGCTTGTCTGAAGTACCTCTTGTACTTTTGCTGCAGGCAGAAGAACAGCCATTTAAAGCCCTTGACGCATTGAGAAAAAGAATTTCTATGAGATATTTTCACTGTATTTGAGACTTAGTTTGCATTTTTTAGGCCTTCAGTAATAGTTTTCAGGTTTGTGGTATAGGCGTTATTTCTTGACATAAGGAATTTATGTAAGCAGAATTTTTGGGATGTTTTTATCGTGTTTTCTTTTGCTCCAGTTACGTTTCAGTGGGATCCGCCCTTATGGTACAATTAGGTCATAGAAATAAATTTAAGGGTATTACCATTTTGCTCTAAATATCATATTGCCTGAAGATGATAAAATTCCCTTAGGAAATTGTTCTTTCCAGATTTACTCTGGCATATAGGAGATACTCAGAATATTGTTTAATAAGCTTGACCTTAGTCTTTTAAATCTCAGTTGATCAGATAACTACCAGTTTTATATAGAAGACCTATATTTTTGAAGTCCCATTCATTGTATATAACTGCAAATATATGATCTATTGAAGTATAGGAGTGGAGAAGGGGGGAAAAAGAAGGTGAAGATAGCATTTGAATTAATTACTTGCACTGATTATTATTATCTAAACATTCTATATTATGTAATGTATAGTTAATACAGAATAATACCTAATGTATTTTTGACCAAAGATTTACCACACTCTGCATAGAGATATTTATCTGTTGAATGGTCTGAAAGCCTTTGCTAATTTTGGATTTATCAGTAATAACATTAACCTCCTTTTATAATTAGGAATTCCTAAACTGGTGCGTGAAGTTAAGTGTCTCTATCCATATCTCTGTTTTAACTATCTGTGTGTTTTGTCTTTACCTCTGGAATTCATCTGTATACTTAAGCATTGACTGATTTTTTTACTTCATTGTCTTTTTGTTAGTATCCCATAGGAATTTCTCAGTTTCAGTTTTCCAGCCATCTATTCCTAGATTACACTTGAGCAGAACAGTAAAACTAGAAAATGTTCAAACATGGATCCTCTAGGATGGAAGACAGTAACTTAGCAATTTGACAAAATATTAAAGAGAAGATTCAGCCCAAGAGGTCAGGCTGGCCTCTCATACAATGTTAGCAGAGAAGTGAATAAACCTTGTTTCAGATGGGCAGGGAGAAATGGGGGAGTTCTGCATTGGCCACACCCAGCAAGTCATTTATATGAATCCTCATTTACATCCCCAGAACACTATTAGTTGTGTTGAAACTATATGCTTACCTATGTATTTGTATGATTATTACTGATAATTATTACCAATAGTCGTGAGGGCTGCTTAGGAGGCTTGCTGAGTATAGATACAGGCTGCTGATGAAATTCAACTATACAGTTTATATGGAAGGTACAGTGCACATAATTCAGCATTATAGACTCGAGCTGTTTTCATGGTTTCTGCTTGGCAGTGGAATATCTTTCTTAAATGCTTTCAGGACTGCTTATGCAATCTGCAAGACGATCTAAGTGCAAAAGGAGTGAGCAGAGAAGTAGGAGTTTTGCCTGCCACTTGAATAAAAAGTGCAGGATTAATTTCTTCACTCGGAGATCTTGGTGATATCCTGGGCCCCACTGAAATCTACTGCAATGGGGATACTCATGTGCCAGTTACTCACGCCCATAAGAGTTTGAGTACCCTTAATTTGAATTTATCAGTTCTTTTTCCCACAGTGTATAAGTCAAACACTTCTGCCTTCAGCCTGTGTTTATCTGTCTGGTTTGTATCTCTACTGTTACAAGCACCAGTAAAAAAAAGAAAAGTTTAACAGTAAAGCAAATGCTTTTCTTTACTGTGGAACAGAAATTTCTGTAAATAGTGAACTGCTTCTAGGTACTTAGGGTAAGCTGCTTGTGACTTTCTATTAACACAAAACAGATTTAAGTTTGAACTAGTGGTTGAGTCTGGTTTGCTTGACTTTGTACCATGGGAATCAGTGTTTAATCTGGCCTGGTGTTTACAAAAATGAAATGTGATTTGAATATCTCTCTGCTGTGCTCTGCTCCAGCTTTAAGCCACGATGGTTTCACATTTGTTCAACCTGATTGCTCCAACATATTAACCTTCTTTTAACTACTGCTGGGACTTCACCATGGTGACGTGCTTCTTAGATTTACGACCTCACTTAATTCCAGTTCTCCTAATTATTTTTTCTTCTGCCTCATGATTGCACAAATTGCCAGAATGACAGGTTTTGAGGCTTTTTATTCACAAAGCAGATGTAGTATGACAGTGGTAGCTCCAGGTGCCACATACTGTTCTGCCAATGTGACTTAACCCTGACGTCAAAATGCCTGTCCTTTGGGGATGATAAAACACTACAACTGGTTGTCTGTGCCTGTTCAGTCTCTGCTGATACTTCTAATAAACTGGACAATTATATTCCCTCTAATCATTGCTCATGAAAACTTTGGGGTTTGTGCAAGATGTTTGACTTAGGTTAAATTGAATGGAATGGATTTTTCCAAAACAAAAGGCCTGAAGTTTTGTTTTACCTGTACTCTGACATACAAAATGGCTTCAGGGTAGGAAGGGGAGGAATCTAGACTCTGCTGCTGAAATAATCCATAGCTTATAGCTATTAGTTTTACATTACAATAGCCTGCTACTGCTACAGTATGCACTGCTATTTGCAGTGTGGCAAACTTACTGTGGAGAGAGGGCTCAAGGCCATTTTGAATTTTAATGCATGAACAGAAGTGAAATAGTACCCCAGCTTGCCCAAAGATAAAGGTAGAATGAGACTTTTAGTTGTGAATAAGTCTGTAAGTACCAGATGTTTGCGGTTTTTTGGTGTTTTTTTTTTTTTTTTTCCCAAACCCTTTTTTTTAATATGAGACTTTTAGTTGTGAATAAGTCTGTAAGTACCAGATGTTTGCGGTTTTTTGGTGTTTTTTTTTTTTTTTTTCCCAAAGCCTTATTTTTACATGTATCATTAGCCACCAGGGAAATAGTTCTCTTTTAGATCAGCAGCATTTTTGCTGTGGTTTTTCATTCTTGCCCAGTCTCCTCCTTCTGTTTTGTTTCTTCCAGATAAGTTTCTTTTGTCCCTTCTTTCATTTTAATTTTTATTTCATGTAAACATTCCTAACTCAGGCCGCAGAGTATGCTTTGTGCTTCTGCATGTTTCTGCATCACAGGCAATGACCAGCAGCAAGCTGTTTAATGCAAACAGTGAACTGTCAGCAGAGAGTCTGGCAGCTATGTGTCTCATGAAGATAACTTTGTCATTTAACTGTCTGCATTGCAGGGATGAGGGGATTATTTTCAGGTAGGAGAATTATTAAGGTTGGAGATTTTTAAAAAGTGAAAACATGGTTATGCCATGTAGACTAGAGAAGCACTGAGAGCTGACAAGTTCACAGCCATGCCTAAAGCTTTTGAGACTTCAGTGTTGGACTTCTTCATGGCACTCTTATTGTAGCTGATTTTGATCTCATTAGTTTCACTTTAAAATAGAGGCGAGCCAGAACATTCCAGGGAAAAGCAGGGAGGACAGTTACAGATGTAAGATTGTTCAGAGGGTAGTAAATCCAATGTGTAGTAGTCAATATTTTCACTGACACTAATGGAATATTGGATATATGTAAGATTCAAGACAAATTCCTTTACTTGGGACCACTTTTCTTGGAAAGAATAAGAGTTAGAGACTGTGTACATCTCCTTTTCAAACTTTTTCCTCACATGAGAACATGGAGAAGCTCAAAGAAATTGTGAAGTAGTTATGCTGGAACAAGTGAGGGGAAATACTGTTTCACACCGGATATAACTAACAGCTGAAGCACTGACTTCAGGAAGTCATCAAACATCTTTTCATAAGACAGCTGTGCAATATCATGACTACTAAAAGCCAACTACAGAAACGTGGTGCTGTTCCTAAAGGAGTGAGTTTTCACCATTTAAAATTCTGTAGAGTCCTGGCTAATCATAGAATAGTTTGGGTTGGAAGGGACCTTTAAAGGTATCAAGTCCAACCACCCTGCCATAGGCAGGGACATCTTCAACTAGATCAGGTTGCTCAGAGCCCCGTCCAACCTGACCTTGAATGTTTCCAGGGATGGGGCATCTACGACCTCTCTGGGCAACCTGTTCCAGTGTTTCAACCACCCTCACTGTAAAAACTTTCTTCCGTATATCTAGTCTAAATCTACCCTCTTTTGGTTTAAAACCATTACCCCTTGTCCTATTGCAACAGGCCCTGCTAAAAAGTCTGTCACATCTTTCTTACAAGCCCCCTTGAAATGCTGCAATAAGGTCTTCCCAGAGCCTTCCCTTCTCCAGGCTGAACAACCCCAACTCTCTCAAGCCTTTCTTTGTAGGAGAGGTGTTCCATCTCTCTGATCATTTTTGTGATCATTCTGGCAAAGGTCTATGGGATTTTTTGAAACTTGCTTTTTATTCTTTGGGTTAGAAATAACAAGGCATTTATATCAGAATCAGTGTGAGTATTTTGGTTGTCCTTTCTCTGAAAGATGGAAATGTTAATTTCTTTAAATCCTATTTCTACATTTTTAATGAGAACACCATATGGTTAAATTGTCTTGACCAGTTTCAGATTAAATGGTAGCCGATTACGAAATTTTCCATTTACTGAAGTCATGTGATACTAGATCACAGAAATTTTCCTGAATGAAAACTCTTACGGAAAACTCTTATGGAGTGTAAATGGGCTTCCCTCTTCCCCCCACTTGCAGTGAGAGGGACTGCCATTCTGTACACCAAGGCTAACAAAAATAAAAAATGACCTCAGTGTGGATGTGTATGATTTCTGTTTAGTTTTGTTAAAAGCTGATACATCCTGTTTTAATTGACAGGTATTTTGGGTCATCAAAGTAGTTATTTTTGTCAGTGTTTGCCTACATTTCTTAAATATCCTCTGTGTTATTTTCAGATGGGAAGAAACGTTTCATTGGCATCAGGATGCTGACAATAACACCTGCGTAAGTATCTCGGAAAGGCAATCTGTATGATCATGCATACAAACTGTGGTCAGTAGTGGTTTCAGAAGTTCCTCATTCAGCTTTCATTACAAATCTCCAGAGAATCCAGAAGTTTGCATTAGTTTAGGAAGTCTGCAAATATTTTAATGATATCGGTGAAATATATGTTCTGAAACCTGGAAAATCACTGTCAGTCATTCTCTAAATACTGATCATGTTGGATGCTCTGTTGATAGCTGAGGGAAATTAGGAAGGTCCTGAACACTGATTTTGGTTCTTGACAAGGATGTCTGGAGTTACACGAGGGTTTAGATGACATTTAAGCAAGCTGTTGCTTTTGGGTGACCGTGAGTGCCAGTGACAGATTAGCTGCCTGAGGGTTTGGCGGTAGTTTTATCAGTGCCAGTGGAGGCCATATGATGTGAGATTTGGTACCTAAGCTTTAACTGGAAAGAAAGTAGTTGTTCAAGTGCAGAACTAAAGCTTCATGCCTCCGTGTTAACAAAGCCAGAATATGGACACCCTCCTCCAGTTCTTTACTGTCATCTCTCTCTCGTGTTGCTTTGTGTCTTGCCATTACCTGGATATATATTTGGGAAAAAAGCTTTAACTGGAAAGAAAGTAGTTGTTCAAGTGCAGAACTAAAGCTTCATGCCTCCGTGTTAACAAAGCCAGAATATGGACACCCTCCTCCAGTTCTTTACTGTCATCTCTCTCTCGTGTTGCTTTGTGTCTTGCCATTACCTGGATATATATTCTGGGATAACAAATGAGGACTCTAACACTTGTGCTCTTTCCTAGCAGTAGGCACATTTCCAAAGTGGCAGTAGACTGCAAAATTAAACAAGACAATTTCCAGCTGGGGTTGTAGTAAAGCCATCTTTGTTTATTGAGTTACACTCTTGCAATCCTCCCCAAAGGGTCAGATCCTCAGCTGGAACAAATCAGTGTAATGGCATTAACATCACTGGGTCACCACCTATGGAGAGAAAATCAGAATGTTTCTCTGCATAATTGTGAAGTGAACATGATGTGAGGTTGTGCTGCTTTTGTGGTGTCTAATGAAGCAGTGTAAGATGTCTCCAGGCCTGTTTTCAGTAAAAGACTGCTTCCTTTGGTGTGTTTGCTTTAGTCATTTAATTGTTAGCTTCTTCAGGACAAAATCAAATGAAGTGAAGCTGCATGCAGCCATTTTGGCTTACTTTCCATCTGAGGGTCCCCAAGTTTTCATGGCAGACAGCACAGTAAACCATCATTAGTTTAAAACCCTTTCTTTCTAGAAATGGGTTTTCACCCACACTGTGCACAGACCTGAAATGATGTTGCCATCTCAGATATGAGAGGATGTTTTTAGAGTCTCTATTTTGCAGCTGATTCCTGTCTTCTTTCTTCAGAAAGGGATGCAAAAACAATTCCTCAAGAAAACTTGAGGAAGCTGAAGTTTCCTTGGAAAACTCCCACAGTTCTGATCTATCTGATGATTGAAGTGCTCAAAACCTGTATTGTTCTATATAAAGACAAATTAAGAATGATTCACAAAATGAAAGCAGTGAAATTGTTAGCAAATTTCTGCCCCATCACCAGCATGAATTCTTTGGGGCAGGAATGTCTTTTGTCCCTGTACAGCACCTAGGACAGAGAGTGCTGCTGTCCCTGTATGCTTCTACAGTGCCCCCTGTGCTACTGCTACAAACAGCAAAACTCAGGTTCTTACAGGAGACGTACAAGATCATTAAATGTAGCAAATTGTGCACAGGTGAGTAATTCTGACTCTTAAAACCTGTTACCTGTTTTAATCCAAATTCAAATCTCCTACATTCTTATCACAAGAACAAGGGGCAATTAACTGTTAAGTCATTAATTTTGGGTCCAAAAACCCTGAGAATAAATAAATAAGAAATTTTGAATGCTACTGCTTTTGTAGTGGAAGCAAATGCTATATAATTTTGTTCTTCTTTTAGCTTGGTGGAAGAACTGAAACACAATAATGCTGATTTTCCTGATGTTAGAAGTGGAATTTATGTACATGAAGTTGTTCCAAACTCACCTTCTCATAGGTATGTAGAGCACATTATTTTCCTCACCATAAATAAATCTCCAAATACGTACTAGTAGGCAATATTTCTATTTATATTCAAGTACTTCCACATACCAGTCTTGATTCGTATTTAAACACTTAAAAAATATGCCTTAAGGTTAAAAAAAAAAAAAGCGTTAAAATATTAATGCGAAGATTCTACTCGCATCTACAAAAGTGAAATATTTCAATATTAGAACTTTTTAAATGACATTATGAAACACCTAACAGTGCAAATTTGAAGAACACCCCAAATACAATGAACCAAATTAAGTTTTTAAAAGTATGTTGAATATTAATAAATAGACACTTGGAATGTGTTTAAACAGGACAGCATTCACATAAGACATTGTCAGAGCTACTGTGTGAGACTGCTTTATCTTAGGGGAAGAGACTATTTTACAGAACAGTTGGAAAATAAGTAAGACACTTCGAAAAATTACTTTAGGAATTATAAAGAAAATGCAAAGGCCATAAAAACAGCTCTTCTGGATTACACTTGAACAGCAAGAGAGAAATAATTTACCTGTAGTTCAGTTACTACATTTTGCTTATCTTGAAATTTGGAGAGTGGTTTAATTTCCAGTGCTTGAAATACATATCAGAGAGAGAAAAGCGTGTTTGCAAATGGATGGAGCGGAGTGAGCCAGTCATGGCTAAAAGTCTCTTCTATTTTTCCTGTGCTGTAGTTTTGTGGAAGACAAGAGAAAGCTTGTCTACTTTTATTATTGCTGTGGTTTTGCTGTTTTAGAAGAAAATCCTCAATGAAATAATGCGAGCCTGATTTTGCATTTAGCAAGTACTACCGATTACTCTTTCGCTGTCAGAAGGGTGGCAGTTCCCTTCAGTGGAAACTAAAACAAGTAAAAATTTGTAACATCAGCCAAAGAGGTGGTGAAGAGTCTGTACTTTTTCTCTGCATAGAATGCTTACTTACTGCCTTTTTCTCTTGTCTTTTTTTAGAGGAGGGATCCAAGATGGAGATATTATTGTTAAAGTCAATGGGCGTCCTTTGATGACTTCCAGTGACCTGCAAGAGGCTGTGATGAATGAATCACCTCTACTACTTGAAGTTCGAAGAGGAAATGATGACTTGCTATTTAACATTGAGCCTGAAGTTGTCATGTAAATAAATTTGAGGAAGCTCTCACCATAATTAAACTCACTTACTCTGGAACACTAGATACCTCCTTTACAGCTACAGTAATTATACTTCCTGTTGACTAATGACAAGGTGGACTAACTTAATTGCCTGAGCCATTTCTGTACATAGTAGCTAGAATGAATTCAATTATGCCATTTATAGAAGATTTAACTTTCAAAGAAATTTAAGAACTGTGTTCTGGGGAGGAGGAAAACAAATTTTGGATAGCTGGTAGAAACGGGGTCCATTTCCAGTTCCTGCAGGTTCAGAGCAGATTCAGTTCTGCATTTTGAAAGACCAAAATACTACTGGAAGTGAGGAAGCATGCTGAAAAGGGAATTTATTCTTGAACTACAGTAATGGCTGCAGCAGAACCAAGCTATTGCAATGCACAATTGAGCTTTTTTTTATATAACTTTTTCAATGTGAAACTAGTATTGGCAAAGCTTGTATTTGTTCTTAGCGCTTGTATGCTACGTGTCAATGCAGGTAGGTTAAATCTGTAAATATTGAAAGGAACAAAAATGGTATCAGGCTATAGAGTGTTACACCTAGGTCATGCAATTTTGGAATATAGTAAATGATTCTTATAGAATTAATGCCTTATTATATATAAATCAAAACGATGTGCTGAACAAAGTTACGTTTGAGAAAGTGCACAGTTTTTTAAGAATTTGATACAAATTAGTTTTGCATTTTACTGGTAAGCTTTGCTGTAAAATTGTTATACTACTTTTGGCTTGTACTGTGTATGTTTCTACTGTAAGGAGATTAAAGTTTACACAAACAATGTCTTGGTGTAAACCTCTTTTTAAACAACTATGTATTCCCTCTCTCTTCTGTCAGACTGGAATAGACTCTCCCAAGAGAAAATTTTCTTACAGAAAATTGGGCCCTGTTGTTGTGAAAACCCTTTGCAGCCCTGTGGTATAATTATTCTGTCCTTATTTAGACTATGTTTAGAAATGCTTTGCACACAAGTCATTTATTTACGCTTTTTTCGTATGTATGAATTGTGCTTTGATGTCATTTAGAGAGAATCTCTCTGGGATCCTGTTGTCCTCGATTCAGCCTGTACGTGACAAGAAGCAGAAAGGAAGCACTACTAACCCTGGCTTACAGCTAGAGCGTGTGACACTTTTATTTGATATACCCGGGACAGAAATTGCTAAGAGCTTAATCCAGATCTCATAGGTACCCTCAACCACACAACTATCTTCTTTCTTAGCGAGTATCGCTACTGTTCCCAAAGAGACAGAGGAGCACCTCTATCTGGAGCATTTTCTACTGCAAGCTGTGCTTTCTAGGCTTGGTTTGTGCATCTTTGACTCCTTTTTGCATCAAAGTGTATCTTTCTGGCAGTTAGCACCTGCCCTTTAGGTTGCCATCACATCTAGACTTTCTGGCTATCCCAACTGACTTGTTTGTGACAAGCCTTGCGCCTTTGGGTTTGTACAACGCCAGGCGTGCTGAAAAGAGCGAGCTGTTCATTACTTGCTGGCTGGTTGGGACTGCAACTGTGGAGTTGAAAGGTGGATGAGGCATATTCCTCCTAAAAATGAATATTCTTTCTTTCCATCACATTATTGCCCACATCTGTAATAATGGCGTGATGCCCATGCGGTCATTAAAAGAGCTGGTTTCACCCCTCTAAAAAAAATACTTTGTTGTACCTGTTGAGTATTCCATATCCAGAGGGATCAACTCCTTTCCTTTAAGATACAACCTTAGCATCCAAGCTTGCAAAAAGCAGAAGCATGTTCTGAACTTAGGATAGCTGTGGCATGCAGAATGATGCTCTCGTGGCTAAAGTCAAGCCTATCCATACACGTGTACCACGTTAGGACTACCATTGTGAGGGGTATTTGACTCTCTATTGATTAATATTAGACAAAATATTTCCATGAGTTTGCTGCTAATTTTTCAGATTTTTGACAAAAAAAAATTGGTAAGAAGACCCCCAGAGTGATTAGCTTCTCTTCTTGTAAGAGAAGCTTTTTGGCTTCCAGATAACGGTAATGATTTTGAAATAAATTGCATAACAACTTTTATTGCAATAATACTGAATAGTGTCTGAAAGTGACATAACAGCATTAAATCAAAACAATACACTGTTGTTGGCACTGGCCAAGTGCCTTGGCCTTTTAATCGTGACGCTGTATCCAGGGGAGAAAGGCTGTTCCCTTACTCATCAAAAAATGTTGTGTTCTACCAACAGTTCCTTTTTTCTACGCTTTCTCTGAAAATCTTGTGGAGCTCACAATTCTAAGAGCCTGCAATCGTAGCAGGTTTCACTCTGAGGGAATAGAGGTCGGATGAGGTTCTTCTGGAAAGAAAGCATTGTCGCTTCCTTTGGCCACGGGAGCGTCTGTGTCATTTCAGCTGTGGTGTGACCCTTCACTGCTGAGATGGAAGAGCAGACTTTAGCAATTGCTACTCGTCCCCCTGCCATCGGCCAGAGCTGCAAAGGTTAATTGCTCGGTCTTAAGACAGAGTCAGCATCTACTGATGCCAGCAGTTAACGTGAAGTCTGTAACACGGCCTTGCTATCGTTCTTTCTTGGCTAAGATAAAATAAAATGGTGGTCGGTGTCTAAAATAAAACATTCGGGCAGCTTTTCCATTTCAAGTGGTTACTGGCTCTGTCTCTCAGGCACAAAAAAGAAGTAACAAAAGTCTGATCTCGATCTCTCTCAGAAACTGGCAGCTGCAGCTTCTCCAAGGCGAGGTTGGGTCAACAAGGTGAATGGGTTTGATACGCATTAGTCTGACCACCCTGAAGATTTCTAAAGCCTCCTTGCTATTTCTGCAAGGCCTAATCAGCAAAATAAGGCAAGAGAGAGCTGAGCAATGACCATACAGAAGACATGAGCATTTCAGGGGGTTCCTATGCTGGAGCCCAGTGGGTCTGCAGTGGGAGCTGCCCAGCACTGCCAGTAAGCCAACCCAGCAGGGGAGCTGCCTCTCGCCCATCCTGTGTGGGGCTCAGCGAGTTAAAGACAACTTTTCAGGATCAATGTACAGTAGAAAAAAAATAGGAATGAGGTGACACCATGCATACTATACTATGATACCATTTATAAACATAAATGGGGGCTGTTAGGAAGACAAAGTACAGGTGAAGCAGAAAACAAGAAAGGGAAACAGCGCAGAACAAGAAAAAAAAATATGTTCTTCGGAGATAAATTTTAAATAAAATTTTAAAGATATGTCTTAGTTTCTTGATGTAATTAGATGGGCAGACACTGGGCCAGACTGCTGCACAGCTGCCAGGTACCTTGAAGACCCTTTTCTGCAAAGAGGGCATCTTATCTCTGTACCCTCAGAGCAGTTTGGGATGGGAGGGAAGCGTAACATCCCAAAACACCAGTGATTCTCCCGCAGAGGAACTGATAATGAGAGAGCCTTTAGATTGCAGGCAGCGTGGCACACACCTTGTCACCTTCCCTGAGCACCACCCAGCAGCTCCTATGGCTGATCATTTGTGGCTGTCTGCTCCCCTGCTATACAAGCACTCCATCACATTTGTATGGCTGATATCAGTTTAAAAATGTGATGTCACTGGAAAGAGAGGCACTTTCTGTTTGCAAGCAAGGAAAAACAAGGGAATTCCTTCCCTTACAGGGGATCCTGTAGTTCTGTCAGGGAACTGGGCATGATATGAGAGGTGCATGAGTCTTGGGGCTTGCCCACATGTAAAAGGCTGGCAAAGCAAGGTGGTGGTTTCCAGGCTGTGGCCGCTATGCTTCACAGAGCCTGCTCATGGTCCAGCAGTCGTACCTGCTGCAGCTCCAGGAATTTTGGCCTGTGGGGATCTGAAAAGGCTTGACAAGGCTGCAGAAATGTCACACACAAAATCACTGCACAGCAGCTGTTCCGCATAACCTGTTCTCCGCCTGCTGTTCTGTATGCACTGCACAACCACATACCCAGCCAGCAGTCCCTCCTTTCTATACATCTCTTGTGACTGCCTGTGCACCAGTAGGTCTGCACAAAGCTCCTCCGCACGGCGTCTTCCACAGTGGCTGTTTTGCACGTCTGCATTTTGCCCTCCGCAGCAGCTGCTCTGTTTGCTCTTTGCTGGTTTTGCACCAGCCATTCTGAACCACCATATATCCCAGACAGTGGTCTCACACTTTTTTAGTTTTGTTTTGACTGCTTCTTTCTTGCTTGAGGCTTTGTTGGTTTAGCAGAAACCTGGAAGAAAGAGGAATTTTTTTTCTTCCCAAGCTCTGAAGTCTGGAGTGCTGGGCTGAGCATTTCAAGTCCATAGCATAATACTAGGGCAGTGGGTCGATGAAAAGTTTATTTAACTGCAAGACACTGCAGGATATAGAAGGTGATGCTGCCTCTGTTTAGGCACCACCAGCCACGAGCTGGTCTTCAAAGACAGCAAGGTTGAGAGCTTATCCCAGAGATGGTGTGTACGGACAGTATGGGTATGCTCTTGGTACCCACATATAGGACTAAAGTCTGAGGATTGCTTTGAAGTAGGAAGAAGACTTAAAAGGGGAAGGGAAAGGGGGTGAAGCATGTTTATTTTATTTTATTCCCCTTATTTACTTGGGTTTCTGTAATCTTCACTTAACTGGCCTTGCCTGGGGAAAACATCCAGGTCTGTGTTTGTTCCCATCCCTCTTCCCACAGTAGGAGATTATTTTTGCAACTTTGGTGTTCTGCAAATGGTAGATTTGGTCTTTCATCCAGACCTTCCCAGTGCTTGTGTCAGCAGACACAGCTTGGTGGGGTTTTGCTGTAGAAGAACTTCCCAGGTGTAAACTTCCCATGGGGTGTAAACCTCAGCAGAAAGAAGAACCACCAGCGGTTAAGGGAGAGTTGCTTAGAAGATCTTGCTGGCTGGTCCAATTCTTCTGGCAAACATGCAAGGCAATGTTATATTGCATTTTTCTACTAAAAATGTTCAACGGTATACTCACTAGCACTGAACTAGAGCTTGGAGAGCACGGAGCATGGATACAGGAGTGG